TTCAGCAGGGTTCTCGAGGTGGACACCCTCATGTTCTGAGGATCTGCTGGAGCTTCCAGGGCTTCCTCCAAATTAGGAGAAAAGTAATTTGTGCCAAAACCAACAGTTGCCACACCAAAGTGAGACGGTGTGCGAGTCTCCAAGGTATCTGTGGCTATGCTAACACTTCATGAAATCCTTGACTAATGTTAACTTTTCAAATAAGCAGCTGCAGCAGTTCTCACGGGTTTATTTAAACACAGTTGGTTTAAACTGGCCATGATTATAGCTAGGGTAGGGGAATCAAATGAAGGGTTCTGGTCATCAAAGCAGGAGGATGCTGGAAGAAGATTATATGGCATGTTTGGCTGTGCAAGTGGGAACTGAATGGTTCTGTGTTCTCTAGTGTTACTTTATCACAAATTAGAGGAGAGATGGCCCATAAGAAACTCAGTACTAGCATGTACTGGTGACTTTCAGGCTTTTTTCCTGACATCACTGTCCTTCCTCCCATCCTCTCCTTACATCCAAATATAGTCTTCAATGTTATCTTCGTTGCTGTCTGAGATACATGCTACATGGTATAAAAAGTATTTTGCACCAAGGTTTAAGGAAGATGGTGATTATGTCAGAAGTGATCTCAAACTGCAGATCCCTGAACAGAAGTGATTTCAATGTTACTAAACCTAGTATTTAATAACACACAGTTGTTGCGTTAGGGAAGCTTTTAGGGACAACGCCACTTTGTGAAACCCTGGCAAGACGAGATGGACACATTTCACATCGGTGATGATGTTCCTGACTTACTGAGGTTGCCAGCTGTGTTATGTCCTTTTAAGGAATGTTGCTTCCTATAGCTTCTAGGGTGCTTCCTATAGCTTCTAGGGCAGAGCATTTAAGATGCTGCCACTGCTTCAGCATTTTAACTTCCGCATAGGAGAACCAGATGGTTCAAACACCCTAATATACATTTAAACATTTATGCAGAGGTAATTCTGTTGTTTCAATTCTTCAAATACCTTAAAATAATTAAGATTCCTCTGTTTCCATTAGAAATTAGTACTTTTTGGGAAGGATGTTCTCTTCCTGCGGCAGAGCTAAAGTACCTTACTGGGACTGAACAAAGCGAAGCTAGCTGATTGCTTATAAAGAAAGAACCTGTTGGTGGTCTTTGAAGTTCGCCCTAGAACAGGATAAGTTTTTGTTTGGAGGCTGCACTTCAGACCCCTTAGAAGAAAAGTAACCGTGCGCTCTTTCTTGTGTATTCATCCGTACCCATGGCAAAATGCTTCCTAAGTTCAGTATCCTATATTTGAATTCAGGGAAGTGATTGTCTAAATTCCACTAAGTGAGCTGCTTTCTCTGGTACTTGCTCATTTGAAATCTCCTAGAAATCAGGGCTCTGCCACAAGTGTATTTTATTCTCCTTGTTAAGTGTTAGGGGGTTTGAAGAGCCTGGCAACAGTCTGGCTCTTGTTCACCTTACTGTGCTCTGTTCTGCAGACTTTATGCTAAACAGTGGTAGAGCAAGCATGTCTGAGATTGTGCTCTTTTTTTTTCTTTTTTTTCCTTTCCTTTTGTGGAGAATAAACCACAAAAATATAGCCTGCTGAAAGGGTCGGAGCTAATAATAATCCCCAAAAGTTCTGGCATCCAGTTCAGCTTTTTGGTTGCACTTGATGTTTGAAGACTTTCTCTTTTTTTTTTTTTTTTTTATGCTAGTCTGGTATTATGATAATAGCTAAGCTAACTCTTATCTTGTTTTTCTGTTGTAGTATAATAGGGTTTGGATCCCTGATAATGAAGAAGTGTGGCAGTCTGCAGAAATCACAAAAAACTACAAAGCTGGAGACCATTTTCTCCATGTGCAATTAGAAGATGGAACTGTAAGGAGAAAAGCCTTAATTTATTATGGAGTTTGCTGAGATATGTTTATGTAGAAACATAAGACACACCATTATGGGATCTAAATGACTTGTCCTTATTTTCTTTTATGTTAACCCTGCAGCAACCAGAATTTTATCATATTGAAATTTGTACAGTAACCAGCTGTTACCTAAAAATATGACGAGTGCGATTCTACTATCTTTGCCACATTAGTATAGAACACATACCTTGAAGAAGAAAGATCACCTCACTTTTGAAACAAGCACTGAAACTCATCTTAAGTTGAAGTAAATCGGAAATGCAAGACAGGCATAAATAGTTCTCAGGGAGCTAGCTGTTGCTTTTTTCCCTAAAGTTGTTGCTTTATGTAGGATTTGTTAATTTTAGTATCCGAGTTCTTTACAGATTTAATATTTTGAAAACAGTATACTGTATTTCTGCATTCCTGTCTTAACAAGTATTAAATGTATGATTAAATGGATTTGCTGAAAGAAACAGAAGTGAGTTTTAAACTTTGTGTAAATAAAACTGAAAGGTTGTGAGTAAGGGTAGTTTTAGAGCTGACTTGAGTTCTGGCCAGGTGTTTACTTTCGTTCAGTTGCAACTGGTCTCCTGTTTTCATCTGTACTTGAAATATGCGTGTGTTTAGAGAGCTAAATGCATTTCCCATTTTTGCAGATTTCAATACAAAATATCATGAATAAGGAGAGAGTAGCTTGCTTTTTAATAAGCAGCGAAGAGCTCCATCTTACTTTCATGATCTCCAAGTCCCCTGAGTTCAGTGGGATGTGTGGAATTGACGAAATACAAGATCAGACAGGGCTGCATCAACCCTGTAACTTTGTGTAAAGGTAGAAGATCAATTAGCGTTTATGCAAACACAATGCATTTTATGGTACTTCAAGTCATTTTTGTTGACAGGAACTGAATTACCCTGTTGATCCAGCTGCTTTGCCACCCCTACGAAATCCTGACATCCTTGTTGGTGAAAATGATCTCACTGCACTTAGCTATCTCCATGAACCAGCTGTTCTACACAATCTTAAAGTTCGTTTTGTGGAGTCTAAGCTTATCTACACCTATAGTGGTAAGCAAAGTAAAATGCAGGTTTAAAAAAAAATTCTTTAAAAAAATAATCTTGGGTTAGTTTGCAATATGATGTGAGTAATGTTTTCCTCAAGTGTATTTTAACTCATTCGAGGTAACTCGTTTTTGTATGAGTGTAGACTTGTTTGTTGATCAGGATCTCCTACCTAGTTTAGAAAATATTGCCACTCTGTATCAGTTTAACTGTAGTCAAAAACTGGTATTTCACTGAACTAACTTATGTTTTATTTTTGTTTTGTACGCTTGGTTGTAGGAATAATTTTGGTTGCGATAAACCCCTATAAACAGTTGCCAATATATGGAGATGCTATTATCCATGCATATAGTGGGCAAAACATGGGGGACATGGATCCACATATATTTGCTGTGGCAGAAGAAGCGTACAAGCAAATGGCAAGGTTCAGTATGTTGCTTAATGTCTGTAAATAACACTTGAAGTCTAGTGCCAGTGTTAATTGTAATTTAATTTAACTGTGTATGTGCCATTGGCTATTAAGAATCCCTTTGAATGGTTAACTTAACTATAGGAGGAATAATTCCAGCTGAGGAATTTCTAGAACTCACAACTATTTTCATTCTTGATGAGGGGCAAAACACTGTCTTAGCTGAGTGAATAGCAATGACATCAGCCTAGAGGTTACAACCAAAGGGGAGTAAGAGAAGAGCAGATGAAAGATGGAACTGATGTGAGAGTTGACCACAGCTGTGTTTTCATACATATATATAATTCTTACATTTATACATGCATTTAGACATGTCTGATTTAAACTGTCTGATTATTTGGTTTTAGAAATAACAAAAATCAGTCTATTATAGTCAGTGGAGAATCGGGAGCTGGAAAGACTGTGTCTGCAAGATACACGATGAGATACTTTGCCACTGTGAGTAAGTCAAGCAGCAATGCACATGTGGAGGATAAAGTACTGGCATCTAATCCAATAACTGAGGTAAGTTTCAGAGAATATCTATCAAGTTTGTACTTGTCAAGGAAAGAATTCTGAGAGCTGCTGGGAATCTTTGTTTGCAGTCTTTAGGGATGTTTTAGCTGCCTGAGTTAGATATCTAAATTAGAAGTTTAGCGTCTCAGTGTTACTGATGGAAGGAGGTAGTCAGCTTCAGGAACGCCCAGGTTCTGCCTAATTTACCAGTGGCCCTTTGGAGGCACTAGTTTGTCTCCAGAGTTTTATCTGACCACATCCTGTTAATTAGATGATGGGAAAACAATATTGAACAAGTTGTTTGTTAATTGGAATAGAAACTGGTTAAGGTACCTTATGGTGGGAAAACATACTTTCTCTAATTCTCAGTTTATGTACTGTTATACTATTTGACTTGAGGCTTATTTTCAAATATGGGCCTCAATTTAAATTTCACACCTCAATGCTGAGATTGATCCTTGCACACCTTTGATTTTAGGAACTTGTAGTTGAGTCATGTTTTCACAGTTATTCTTATGAAAGATGCAAGTAAAACAAATTCTAACAGTGTGTAATTTTTGCAGGCTGTTGGCAATGCAAAAACCACGCGGAATGATAATAGCAGTCGATTTGGAAAATACACTGAAATCAGTTTTGATCAGAGTTACCAAATCATTGGAGCTAACATGAGAACATACCTGCTCGAGAAATCCAGAGTTGTCTTTCAGGTGGGTAAAATAGTCAATGTCAGTATAGCTGCTAATGTGCTATCCTTTTACTAGTTTCACATAAAAAATGTTTATGTGAAGTTCTGAATAGTATGTCTAATCAGAATTTGATTTATTTTTTAATAGGAGCTAATCTTATTTATAAGAAACTAATTTATTCCATGTTCTTCTTTATGTTAGGTGGAGGATGTAGCTCAGGGACAATTCCCTGACATAAGTGCAAGAAGTATTTGAGAACTCTGTAACTCTCAGTCACAATAGCAACATGTGCCACTTGTACCTGGAAAGAAACAGTGTATCTAGGGCAGAGGGGGTCTGGGTAAAAAACTGGCTGAAAATTTATAAGGCCAGGGCTTATTGCATGTGACTCATTACAGTGTCAGAGCATAATTGTGATAATCTACTAAAGAAAGCATTTAATTTTATAAAGCTGTTTTTACAAACTTTTCCTTTTTAGTAGTATTGCAACTTTGTAAGTACTATGAAAAATACTTCTGTATATCTGCTGCCTGAAAGATGGTTTGAAAATAGAGAGTTTTCTGAGTTACCATGGGGCAGTGTTTCAGCTGACACTCCTACTCAGTTGTTCATTACAATATTTGTCTTATTAGTAGATGGTTACTCAAGCAGAAGAAATTACTAGAGTTACAGCCTTGGGGAAGGAACTCAGTGTATTGGTAATGGAAATAAAATAGACTTGAATTTATCACTTTCAAAGCTCTTGTTGAAGAGTAAGATGTGCCATTTTAATATTGGGGAATTTCTTTGCCAAACTAAGCTGCAGCAGAATTTAGCCTTCAAGTGTCACCGTCTCTTTATGATAGTGTTGAATATTGAATGTTTCCCTGGTTGGGTTTTTTGGTTTGGGTTTTTGTTTGTTTGGTTTTTTCTTTCTGTAATGGTATTTGCTTTAATTTACAGTCAGAGAATGAGAGAAACTACCATATATTTTATCAGTTGTGTGCATCTGCTATGCAACCTGAATTTAAGCATCTTAAATTGGGTAGGTGTCAAGACAATAATCTACTGTTTGTTTTTGCAGTGCAGTATTTTGAAGACTGGATTTTTCAAATGCTAGGATGTTAAGTGCTTTATAGCATAAATCTCACGAACTTACAATGGGACTTGCGTTTTTAAGTCACTTAGCTATTAATCCTGCTTATATTGAACTCGGTAGCAAATCCCTAGTAACTTGAAGAGCGCATGATCATGTACCTAAATGTCTTTGAAAATCTTATTGTAATACTTTCTGTAGTGACAGATGCCATAATGACAGTTTAAGGGCTTAATTCATTTCTCTACAGAGAAGCTTTAATGCCACCTGGGAGAAGCAGACTGTGGGTATATGTTTACTCAGTCTTCATTTCTGGTTGTGTATTAGATTAAGTATTAAACTTGCAAGGAATTATGAATACCAATTTGTGTCAGCTTAACTGAATTAGGTGCATGGATTTCCCTCAGACAAAGAGGACCTCCAGCTTTTAGCTGAAGAGCTGTCATCTGATAGCATCTTTAATTTTGTCATGTTACAAGAGTCTTTAACAAGTGGCTATCCCCAGTCCCAAATTTTCCAGCATTACAAGTTTTGCTTCTTATTTATAGGAAGTGCAGAAGAATTTAACTACACAAGAATGGGTGGCAGCACAGTAATAGAAGGAGTTGATGACAGAGCAAATATGCTGGAGACTCAGAAGACATTTGCCTTACTGGGTATGTTCTTGGGAGTACCTTTTCAATAGATTTAAAAATTGTGGGTTTTCTTCTGAAATGGGCAAAGGCAGATGATTTCTGAAACGTCCAAAACTTTAGTAGTAATTACCAAAATAATTTCTTTCATAGCTTATCCATTGCACTGTTGGTCTGTTTTAAAAGCACTAGGCAAGAGCAAATGGCTGTTAGCAGTTGGTGTTCATTGTTAACGGTCAAAATCACAAAGGGCTGGAGTCTTCTTGGCCCTTAAGCTAACATGCAGTGACAGACGTGGAATTGGAAGCTTCTGTGCCCCTATGTGGCTTATGTGAAAGCCAAATCAGACTTGAGCTGGCACTTGGGGAGGTACGGGAATTTATGCCTAATATCTCAACAGATCAGAAAGGCAGAAAGTATGCAGAACCAAGGCTTTGCATAGTAGTCTGCAGAGATACTATACAACTCTTGGCTACCCAACAAAACAAGTAATTCAGCATTGTACTATTTTAAATAATTGTACTGTTTCTGAGTATTTAAATAATCAAGAATTGTTTTTTTAGGTCTGAAAGTGGATTTTCAGATGGATGTTTTTAAAATGCTGGCAGCAATCCTACACTTAGGCAATGTGGAAGTAACAGCTGTTGGAGATGAGAGAGCATCCATCAGTGTAAGGAAGTAGCTGATTCACATACCAGCATTTTCTTTTATATTCTATGCCAAAAGTCCTTTAGCAATGTTTTTTCTCATTTCTGGGGCTCAGAGCAGCGTTAAACTTGGTATGCTACACTTGAGAGATTTTTCCATCTTCATATGTATAGAATCATTGCAAGTGTTTATGTGAATCCTGTTTTGTGCCCAGGTTCAGCAAGTCTGAACAAAAGGCAAAATGTGGCTAAGAGAGCCCCATATCCAATTGATCCACAGCTGTTGGAGAAGCCATTTGGGACTGTCTGCAGGATACAGGAAACAGTTTGTCAAAGCTGCTCAGAATGTGTCTCAGCAGATTGTACAGGTCTAAAAAGCAAGGACACCTAAACATCGACTAAAGAAATTTTTCCTTTCAACATCTTAATCCAAAGCATCTCATCCAGTCTAAGTTTTTTTTCTTTGCCAGGAGTTCTCTCCAGTATTACTTGCTTTGGCTGCTCTTGATATTTTGCCAGATGAAGAAGTGAACAGAACCCCTTGTCTATTTAAAAATAAATTTGATGTACGTGGTGCCAGGATTTCACTGTCTAGTCAACAGTTAAAGCATTAAATGTAATTAATAATATTTATTTATCTTCTTTAAAGCTGGAAGATAAACATCTCAATATATTCTGTGAACTTCTGGATTTAAACTGTAACAAAATGGCACAGTGGTTGTGTCACCGAAAGATTATCACTACCTCAGAGACTGTAATAAAGCCAATGACAAGAGCTCAGGCCGTTAATGCACGGGATGCTCTGGCAAAGAAGATCTATTCTCATTTATTTGATTTTGTCGTGGAAAGAATTAACCAAGCTTTGCAGTACCCTGGAAAACAACATACTTTTATTGGTGTTTTGGACATTTATGGGTAAGAATGTCTCTGGAAACAAATTTACTTTAAGTTCTGCCTTTTCTTTGGAGTTAAGAAGCACTCTTCAATTTGTGCTGCTAATGAATTTGGAGCATTTTGCTTTACTAAAAGGTCATAGTCATGTAAGTTCTTTAGCATCTGGAGTAGTGGAAATGTTTGGCAACTATAAATATTAGTATTTTTTACGAATGAGGCTTACATTTTTGATATGAGATACGGATTTATTTTTTTAGCTCTGTTATGTCTGGAAACGTTAACTTCTAGGGAAGTTTTTAAATGCCTTAGCATCTTGATTAGCCTTGCGGCAATTTAATTTTCTTAGAAATAGTAGGATACCTCCAAAGTCTTAGAAGGATACTACCATTTGTAGTTAAATGTGAAGGGATTTTTTTTTTCTGTAACACTGTTGCATCACCTAATTTTTTTACTTATTCGACATGTGTTTCAGCTTTGAAACTTTTGATGTGAACAGTTTTGAACAATTTTGCATCAATTATGCTAATGAAAAACTGCAGCAGCAATTTAACCTGGTATGTTCTTTCATTTGTTATAGTTCTTTATCTTATTTTGTTTTGGTTTTGAAATTATCAATGATGGATATTAGTAAATGCTATTTGTATTTGAGTAGTGGCTATTTCTGGATAATGGCTATCCAGTAATAGACAAAAATATTTTATTGTTGTATATATATACACACATATATAAAACCCCAAAATTTTCTGAGTTTATTTTCTTACAAGACAGACATATACTACATGACAAAATATATAAATATTTTTTCTATCTTATATATACAATCACACACATGCATATATTGTATATATTTGCTTCCTTAATTGTAACCTTACATTTTCCTAATTTTCACATATCTAGCATGTCTTTAAACTTGAACAAGAAGAATATATGAAGGAAGATATCCCATGGACTTTAATAGACTTCTATGACAACCAGCCTGTCATTGACCTTATTGAAGCTAAAATGGGAATTTTAGAACTTCTGGATGAAGAGTGCTTGGTAACTTAAAAATTCTTGTATTTATGAGGTTATAAAAAAGCTTGTGGGTTAATCCATATTTTGTTCCTTTTAAATGGGAAGTAGAGCATTTTCCGTATAAAAGGAACTTTATTGTTTGCCCTCTGCTTGGTAATTTTAATTGTAAGTCTTATTTTTATCATATAAAATTAAGAACCTAAAACTAGATTCTTACCCAGAATCTAACCCAGCAACTAGAATTCTTCACTGTGAGAGTAGTGCAGTACTAGAACAGGTTAAGCAGAGGTGCAGCGGGATCCCCATCCTTGGATACTTCTCAGATTTGAGTTCAGATGGAAGCCAACTCTAGTGGTGGTGGTAGTCTTGCTCCAAGCAGGAATTTGGACTACCTGGTCTCCAGGGGTCTCTTCCATTGATGTTTCTACAACTCAGTTATTCCACGAATCACTAACTTTGGTACAAAAAAACAGGCTTCCTTTCCTTTTTTGTAAGTTCTTGTTGAATGCACCAAACCTACATCTTTGCTTTTTCCTCTTTCATCTTACTATTTCTTTCTCTGTGCTTCTCTCCTGACTGTAGTGATTACTGAATCTGGGTTTTTTTCTTCTCCATATATGTAGTTCCCTTCGGCTTCCGAACTTATTGAAGTAGCTTTTTCAGTGAAGAACAGGGCAGGGAAAGGTGAGCCCTCTTAAAATGGTCTCTAGAAGGTGCTTTGGAGATACTGGCAAGTTGTACTTCTCAGAATGCAAACCGTGGAGTAATATGGGAGAAATTGGGGAGTATTCCCCAACACAGTAGCTCATCTGTTATTCTGCATGTTAGCATTCCCAGGGATCAGATCGTCCCTGATTGCAGGTAGCATCCTCTCGGGACAAAATTATTTATGACTCATCAGAGAATTAACTCTAATTAATATAACCTTCTTAAAATTATTTGCTACAGGGAGCTAAAGGACAAAAAACCATGGTTGTTATCAGGCCTTGTAACTCACTGAAGATGCATTATTCAGGCAGAATTTATTGATAGTAAGCAGTTTTGCTGGTTTTAGCAGTCCAGCAGAGTTTTGTTAAAGAGATTGCCCTTCTTGTTTTTACAGTTACCTCATGGAACAGATGAAAACTGGCTTCAAAAGCTATATAATAATTTTGTCAATAAAAATGCACTCTTTGAAAAGCCAAGGATGTCAAACACATCTTTCATCGTGCAACACTTTGCTGATAAGGTAGAGTATAAACAACCCAGTATTATTTCACCCTTTTTTTTAGCAATAGCTCATTCAGAAAAGAAACAAACTTAGAAAATAGAGGAAATATTAACCACACTTTTTTGGAACTTCTATAAAATCTATCTTCAATACATAATTCTATTTATTTATTGGTAATACTGCCCATAATGTGCTATTTAAACAAACATAAGAAGTGCTTAAGATAATGAATTTGAGAGTATAAAAGATAAGGCAGAAGAAGAGAGCAACGTATAAATAAAACAGTTAAGATTGTAGTCTGTACACATTGTAGTCTCTGTTACTTACATTTCAAATGTAGTATTCCTTTTTTGGTATTTTTATTTGAAATCATAGAATAATGAAGAGAGGAGGAAAGAAATTCCTAATGAAGGCAGAAGGAAATTGCAGTTGATAGTGGATTCTGACAGTTTGTCCTGCTTCTAAATTTGCAGTATGCATCTATGTATGCTTGCCATAGTGAACCTGGTAAAAGCAGTGTTGCAGTCATCGTGTTTAAGACTAATAAAGACCTGTTGACCACCACAGCTTAGAGTGTAAAAAATAACTGTTTTGTTAACTGTTCATGTATTGCTGAAAAGTTAATGATTTTACCCGTTTGCACAGGTAGAATATAAATGTGAAGGATTTCTGGAAAAAAACAGAGATACAGTACATGAAGTATTGATTGAAATCTTGAAAGAGAGCAAGGTTTGTGGCCTAATCAGTAATGACTAATTTTCTGAATACCTGATTTTACTGGAATTCATTCAGATCTGATTTTAAAAGATTTGTTCTGATAAAAAAGATTTTTTAAATAGGCTGAATCAATGAGTTTAGTCTTAATTTTTATTAATATTCTACAAGTGTACATCAAAATAACATACAGGATGGAAAAACAAGTATTCATCCTTTTCATGTATGTGCATTTACTTTGCTAGTTATGTTAGTATTTTTTGTTTTCTTAATATCTCCCTTGAATAGCATTTTGGAATCCTTGAAACGGAACAATTCACTTTTTTTTTTTTTTCCCCCTGTGGTCATTACATGTAGCTTTGAGTGGCTTATCATTAACAGCTGCCTTTGTTTATTCTTCAAAAGAGATTAAAGGCATGCCAGGGCAGGGAAAACATCAAATGTCTTATAAGTGCCTGCCACTTCCCAGCTGCTTGAAGGCCCTGTCCCTTTCAGGTCTACAACCCTGAGAGTGTGGGATTATTATTAAGAAGCTAATTTGATCTGACCAAAAAGCATATTCTTAATTTAAATTAAATATTGTGAAAATACAACCTTAAGTGATCTTATTTTTAACTCTGTTCTGTATTTATGTCCATGTTTGCTCGTATTGAAAGAGCTTTTGCAGGCCTACTTAACAGTCATTGAGGTTTGTCTGTGAACTGTGGACGTGCTTCACAATAGACTCAGAAGTGTTGTGACTGTTTCTTCAGTTGTTGGTTGGTTGTGCCTTAAAGACCTGGTTTCAAGTCTGGCGATACCTAACTGAAGCGTTAAGATGGATGGGGTTTGCATTTTACGTTACCGTAGGTGTAATTTTTATTTAAATGTTACTACAGTTACACAGTATTTAACTGTGATTCTTTCACCACACTTTTTAGTTTCATCTGTGTGCAAATTTTTTTCAAGACAATCCAGTGTCCGTTTCACCTTTCAGTTCAACTATAAGCATCAAATCTGCAAGACCCGTTCTCAAGTCACCTAACAAACAACTCCGGATGACTGTTGGCAATAAGGTGCTACATAAACGTGCTATTCTGAGATGCTCGTACTTTCAGGGAATTGTACTGGGCAGTCTGAGGCTAGGGTGCTGTACTCTATTCTTATTCACGGTGGGCTATCCAGTTTTCAGTACAGCAAGAGCCAGCCACAGGGCAGTGCTCCAGGTCTGGGTGTAAGTAGGTGTGTTTAATTTATGTATAGGAGACTGTTAGGTACACCAGGACTGTTAAATTTCCTGTGTTTAAGATCTAAACCCTAAGAAAATCTCCTAGTGTCCAGCCAAAGCTTAAAGAATTAAAAAGCTAAGATTTGACTTTTTTCCTTGGCTGTAAACATTTTGTTAGCAAAACCATTCTGTCTGATATTTTCTAGTTCCGGAGTTCTTTGTCTTTGCTTATGGTGACACTGAATGCAACCACCCCTCATTATGTACGCTGCATAAAGCCAAATGATGAGAAGTTGCCTTTTGAGTAAGTATGTTAGTGGTGTCTAGCTGTTATAGTACCTTTAAAATTAAAAGAGTATTTTTCTATTTCACAGTAGCTGCATGTCAGTAAGCTAAATTCTTATTGTTGAACATCTTCCCCTACAGAACATATTTTTCCTTTCAAGATATCTAAAGTAAAAAAATATTGTCGTTTTACAAAAATAGAATCAGTCAGTAATAGTTATTGATGCCTTAAAAATTCTTTATTATCCTAAAATTTTTTAAGGCAGATAGTAGCGTTTGTGTATTTGTCATAACCTTTTTAGGGGAAAGGTTGTCCACCTTTGATAAAAGTTGATGGATATTTTGTTTAGGTGTGTTTGCTCTTGTACAGTATGGATTAGCACCAATTCATATTTAAGGCAAAAAAAAAAAGCCAGTGCCATTCTCCTTGTGAACTTTCTTTGTGTCCACACAAATATTTAGAGGAGCTTTAGAAGTCAAAAAAGGTATGGGCAGTGTTGAACATAGCCTTGGCTTTTTCCCACAATTTTATATCATTTTAATGTTATAATACAATTATATATGCCAGATAGTTTTTATAATTTCTCTATCTAGTTTGATAACCGCTAACTGTAAGCAGGAGTTAACCTTGACGCAGCTATTGGTCTGGCTTGTGGGCAGACATGTGGAATCTACTTTGTTATACAGGTTTTAGCTGGAATTTAATATTGAAAAGAAACAGGACGTTTCATAAGAGAAAAATAAATATAGTCGTCCTTTTGTTTTGAGGCAGAAAAAGAAAAGCCAGATACTCCCTATCACGTATGTAAAAAAAAAAAAACCCCAACAAAACAATACAGTAAGATGCCATATAAAAAGTAAGGAGCCCTGTATCCTATGGGCAGAAATAGAAATCCAGCTAGTAGAATGGTTATAAATATTATTGCATTGTAAACCCAGCAAAAATGTAAACTAGAACTCTGCCTTTTTAGGTTTGATTCAAAAAGAGTGGCTCAGCAACTGCGAGCGTGTGGTGTTTTGGAAACTATTCGGATTAGTGCACAGAGCTACCCATCCAGGTAGGGATAGCAGCAGGCCTCCTTATGTCAAAAAATACTTAAGTGTCTCTTAAATGAATTGCATTTGCTAATTTTTTATTTTCTAGGTGGACTTACATTGAGTTTTTCAGCCGTTACAGCATTCTTATGACACAGCAGGAACTTTCCATAAATGATAAAAAGCAGATTTGCAAGACTGTTTTGCAGCGACTAATCCAGGTTAGTTTGTATGCACTGACCCATTATGTATTATAGCAGCTATTATTAATAAACAATCTTTTTTGCCAAGAGTAGTATCTCTTTCCTCAAATCAGAAAGATATTTACATTATCTTTCCTGATTTAGTGTTGCACACAGGCTTGCAAGTCAAGAACCTTGTGTTGTGACACAGTCGTGATGCGGCCATAGACAGATGATTTAACCTCTCTGTGCTTAATATCTTCACTTGTAAAATGGAAGATACGCTACCTGTGTTTGTGAACCAGTGAACAGACAGTGGTATATGTTTGTCAAGTATTAGAATTTTATGTACACAGGAGGGGTTTTGATGGTGGGAACGCAGCATATTGGAGAACCGTTCTAAAAAATGTGCTATTTTGCATATTGCTCCTATTCATTAGACAAGTCTGTAGCGATGAGGCTGGTCCAAGTCAAGCCAGTGATTCAAGTCAGCGCATCAGGATTGACTCAGGCATGTATAAGACCAAACACAAGTGTACTTGCAACGTAGCTCCGGCACAAGCCAAGGCTGAGAGCCTGAACTTAAAAGCAGCTTCTCCCCTGAGATTTTGCTCCCACAGCTTGCTGATTCAAGGCCAGACTTGAACACTAAAAGGTGTTGTTGAGCCCAGGGAACCAGACTTGTAGGAGGGGGTGAAGAGGTTGCTTTCAAGGCCTTGATGATAAGTCCAGATATGGCCTTTAATTTGAGATCACTAGGGTGAGATTTGTGGATGTAATTCCCTGGTTCTTTCCTGCTAAGGGGATTTTCCCCCATATACTCCTATCTACAAAGAAGGCAGATATTTAGCAAGATCATGTCATTTCAGAAGACCTTGCCTGAAGTGTCAATTTATAAAAAGAAGAGAGTGTCTTGTCTGCAATAATAAACTAAAACGTCAATATACCTATTGTTTTCTTTTTCAGGATCATAACCAATATCAGTTTGGGAGAACAAAAATTTTCTTCAGAGCAGGACAGGTTGCTTACTTAGAAAAACTGCGATCAGATAAACTGAGACACGCGTGCATCACGATCCAAAAGAGTGTTCGAGGTTGGCTGCAGCGGAAGAAATTCCTTCGCATAAAACAAGCAGCTACTATAATTCAGCAGTATTTCCGGGGGCAGCGGACTGTACGGTACTTCTGGCTGATAAATGAATTTGCTCTTAGGGCATGCCTGAAGGGATATAGAAGGTCAAACTAATCCCCAACACTAATTTGGAAGTGTAGTTTTTATGAAAAAGCAATTCAGATTGTATTTCTATTTCCTCTTGATTGTAATTATAGACTTGAAAATGTTCAAGTTATTCAGCTGATACGAAGAAAGTACTCTAGCAGATTTCAAATGTTGTCTGTCAGATTCCCGAGAGGTCTGTGTACCTGTAAGCTCAGTCCTTAGCTAGTGAGGAGCGACCCAGTTGTCGACTTGGGCTTACTGCGTAGCTTCAGAGCCAGAGAACAAATCAAGTAGCAGAAAGGAAAAGCAATTTGCAAGGGTCTAAAAATTAGCGTGTACAAATTATTACGAGGAGGTATGCAGCAGAGAAACTGTACCAGTCATTCACAGAGCAGACTGAGAGGAAGATGGCTCTGTGTAGGCTTTGAAATTTTCAGAAAGAGACCATCAGAACAGTTGGTTGTGGAACAGATTTCAAAGGTTGTGGATAATTCCCCCTTTCTCGCTTTGAAGAAAAAGTTGTGGTTTAGATAGTGGATGTCTCTTTTCAGTATCTTCTTTTTTCTTTTATGTGTGATTTGGCTAACTGAGGGAGTGAGCGTTAGAAATCTAACGTGACTGAAGTAAACGTTATTGTCTTTTGAATTAAGGCAAGCTATAACTGCAAGAACTCTGAAGGAAACATGGGCAGCTATAATTATTCAGAAGTACTGTCGGGGTTACCTGGTCCGTAGACTTTTCCAGCTCATCCATGTCGCTACTATAACCATTCAAGCTTATACAAGAGGATTTCTAGCAAGAAAAAAATATCGGAAGGTACAGCCTATCAAAAATTCTATTTCAATAACTGGAAACAGCTATTGCTGTATGAGAGATGGAGATAAGGGCAATGATCCCTAATAATTTACTTTCTGCATGTCTGGTTCTCATATCTTCTACTCTGTTTTTATATTGTTACTATAAAAATACCAATACAGTAGCTCAGATCTAATCTCTGAGCTGCTAAGAATTCTGTCTGGTTTATATTTGATGCAGATCATTTAGTGTGATTACTACAGTGGTTCAAATGTGTCTGCAGTCTGGATATTTTAATATTTTGATACTTCTGTGAGAAGCATTGTCATTACCAGTATATGTAGATTCATGGAATGTTATAATTGATGCTGATTGAGCCATAGATAATTACAGACAGATGTTAATATTTTATTTTAAAGATGCTTGAAGAACATAAGGCTGTGATCCTTCAGAAATATGCCCGTGCATGGCTTGCCAGGCGCAGATTTCAGAATATTCGGCGGTTTGTATTGAATATCCAGCTTTCGTACAGAGTTCAGCAACTGCAGAAAAAGATAGAAGAACAGGTGAGGGACACCAGTCTGTTTATGATTTGTACTAATTTTTTTATTATATCTGTTTTATTCAGAGCTCTCAGGTTGACTACAAGAAAGCTGGGGAGGGATGGTTTACAAGGGCATGTAGCGATAGGACGAGGGGTAATGGCTTTAAACTAAAAGAGGGTAGATTTAGATAAGATGTTAGGAAGAAATTGTTTACTGTGAGAGTGATGAGGCACTGGAACAGGTTGCCCATGGAAGCTGTGGGTGTCCCATCCCTGGAAGTGTTCAAGGCCAGGTTGGATGGGGCTTTGGGCAACCTGGTCTAGTGGAGGGTGTCCCTGCCCATGGCAAGGGGGTTGGAACTAGATGGGCTTTAAGGTCCCTTCCAACCCAAACCATTCTATGATTCTATAACTAGAGGCTTACATGAATTACAATATCCATAGTTTACTTGACAAGACAGGAGAATATGTAAGGGATATGTCCTTTATAATAAACCACGAATATTCTCGTGGATGTAGGACTAGAAGGTGTTGTGAGCAA